GGCCGGCCCCGCGAGCCTAAAATTTCGGCTCGGGCTCGGCCCGGTTAAAATGACTGAGCTTTTTTGCGGGCTCGAGCCGGGCCGAGCAAAAAGCTCGGCCAAAAAAAAAGGGCTCGGCCCGAGCTTTTGCTCGGGCTTTTTACTGGCCGAGCCGGGCAGGCTCATTTTCTCCCCAATATTTTTTTTTTTTTTTTAATATGGTTCTTCCCTCCTGCTGCCTGTTTTGTCTTAAATTTTAATTTTAATTTTTTTATTATTAAAAAGCTCGCGAGCTCACGGGCCGGCTCGGGCAAAGCCCGTGTCCCCAAAATGGAGCTCGGCCCGAGCTTAGGCTCGGGTCTACCGAGCCCCGAGCCGAGCCACGGGCGGCCCGAGCCGGCGAGCCCGATTGCCATCCCTAAGTGTAGAGGATGGGTGTAAGGGTAGATGGGTTAATTGGGAAGATAAAATATTTTTCTTTTATTGGAATGTTTTAAATTATTTTAGGGAAAATTGCTATAGCGGTCTCTAATCTTTTCAATTTTTGCAGACTTTACCTTAATTATCATTTTGTGTTATTCACAGTCTCAAACCTTTAAAAAACATGCATCTGAAGTCCAGATGAATGGAATCTATCCATTTGATCGTTAGTTGACCAATAAGAGTGGGCTTTGACCAATTTTGACTAAATTGAAATGAGTAAAATGATACTTTCATTTTCTCCCATTAAATAAGTTAAAAAATAAATAAATAAACCATAAATTAAAAAAATAAAAAGAAGAAGAAAGAAAATGGGGGCATCATCGTCTTTTCCCACCTCCACCACTCCAAATTGTAGTAGGGTTAGTGGTGTTGATCGTCGTTCGTCGTTCATCGTTCATCGTCCATCGTCCACCCCCACCCCCACCCCCACCCCCACTCCCATGAGTCCTACCTTCTTCCTCCGATTCCACCCTACCACACCCCCACTCTCGCCTTCGCCTCCATCTCCACCCCATCAAAACAAGAAAATCATTCGTGACCACCAACATCGATCTCCTCACCATTGCTATCACCATTGCCAGTAATTACCCGTTCAAACTCCAAACTCAATTCAAAAAAATCAGAAAATACCTCCACCACCCAATTAAAAAAAAAAGTGCCGTATCTTTTGAACATCTTCTAAACGTGGCACTGTGGAGCATAACAGTGGTCCATCGGATAGCACCAAATTTATGCCCTCGTGTGCCTAAGTAGCGGCCTCCACCATCAGCACCGAATTCTTATTGCTATCCACCATAACTCTATGATTTGATTTTCCACTTTTCTGCTTTGTCAATAAGCCCAAAACCTTACTTCTAGCTCA